AGACCGTCAGGGAGCAGACCGGGTGGTTTCTAAGTCGCTAGGTCGGGGTGATGAGTCCAGCAGCCACAGGGACTGAGCAGAGCAAGCAACTATCGCAGCAGTCTTTTCCAGAGCCCCAGGGGCTCAGACCACCCGAGCAGAAGATCCAGGTTCCCCAGAGTGCACTCTGGCCAGCCCGGCCTCCAGACAGCCGCAGGGAGGGCTGCGGTGCTCTCCGGGGTGCTGGCGGCACCCCCCACCCCCGGTCCAGCGCTGCAGGGCAGCCCTCATCGCCACGCCTCACTGACCACACCCGGCGATCCCGGCAGTGGGACTGGCGCCCTAGGGCCCCAGCCAAGCATCAGCCCCCGAGACTGAATCTACAGCAAAAAATATCCGGTCATCTGGTCTCCTTGGAGACACCGGCCCTGCTCAGCAGTCCTCTGGGCCAGTCTGTGCCGCTCTCCACGACGGAGCACACAGCCCACTCTGCCGACAGCACAGAGGGGTGCTGGTCCCCAGGGCGGTGTGGGCACCCCCTGGTGAAAGGGAGCTTGGAGGCGGACTCCTCTGCCACGCTTCCCCCAGAGTTCGGAGACAAAATCTGCTCCTTCCGGACGCCACCGGCGTCTTCTGCCTGCACACCTCCCGCCTGCCCCGGGGCGCCATCTGAAAGCCATGGGCTCGGAAGGCTCAGGGCTGCCCCTGGGCTGCAGCTGTCCGGCAGATCTGGAGTGCGGCTATCTTAAAACACAGAGCTAGACAGGACAGCCCCTGGGGTCTCACTGCTGCCCTCAACTGACATGTGTGACTGGGGACTTGGCAGCCCAGCGATGGGGACCGTGTCACACACCGGCACACGGCAACCCATCACTGCACAGAGGGCCAGTCCCCTAGGAGCGGTGTCTGCCAAGCTCGGGGGGCCCATCACGATGCTGCTGGGACACTTACCCGGTCACTCCCAGGAGCTTGCAGCCAGGGCTGAATCAGCTGCCCCTGTAGAAACCACCCCAAGTCAGCCCTTCTTGAAGCCTCACCCACACTAACAGGAAGCTCTGAGCCCCTGGGATTCTGCCAGAAAGCTCCACTCGGGGGTTACCAAGTTCAGAGTCCTGCTCTCCCCCAAACATGCCACAGTGTCCTCGTGCCACAGGCCCTTCTTCTAGTCCCTCCACAAGCCCAAGCAGACCTCAGAACAGCGTGGGAGTTCCCGGCTCCTCAGAACCCAGCCCCGCCAAGCCCCGCCAAGCCCCGCCAAGCCCCATCCAGCCCCAGGCCTTCGGATGCTACACGGTCTCACAGCATTTAGTGCCACCAGTGGTGGAGTGACAGCGCCAGCCTTGGCTGAGCCACCCAGTGGGAGGGCTGCTTATCTCATGGGTAGGGTTCCAAGGACCCCCTGGCCAAGTGACAAAGCCAGAGGAGACAGCGGACTTGGCCACAGTCCAGCCCCACAACTCAGTGGTCTGTGTGCTTCCCGTCATGGAGAGCGGCACAGACTGGCCCAGAGGACAGCTGAGCAGGGCTGATGCCTCCAAGGAGACCAGATGCCCTGTACAGAGCCACATTCAGGGGCCGGTGGGGGGGTGGCCTGTAGGGGAGCAGAAACCTGGCCCTGCTTTTCTTTAAAACAGTCCTGCTCCGGACTTGCCTGCTCCTGCCAGCCAGCCACAGCCCTGCGGCAGTCCCGAGGCTTCAGAGCCCTGACACAGGTGGGCGCTGCGGTGGCCGGGCCTCAGGCTCCACGGGCAGGCACAGTTCTGCCCTAAGCTGGGTGTCCTCTGGAGCATCCCCAGCGATGACTCAGTGGGAGCTGAATGCCACACCCCACCTCGCATTCCTGAGGGTGCCGGACTCCAAGCTCCGAGGATCGCATGGAAGCTCCAAGAGCTTCTGCAGGGAGGCTGGCATGGGCACCAGACCCGAACTGCAGGGAGCAGCAGGGCAGACCCAGAGGCAGAGCTGCTTCTCGCAGGCTGCCAGGGTCCTCCCAGCTGAGCCTGCAGCCCGCTGGGCGGACCGCACTCCCGAGCCTTGCGGGGAGGTGACAGGATGCCACCGGCTACATGCACACACACCTGCAAGGGGCCCAGGCTCCGGGGACCCTAGACAGGAAGACCCTGCTCCAGGACTCAGGGGCATCTCTCTTGAGGCTACTCACCTACCCTGCCCGTCTACTTAACCCCCTGGGGAGTGCAGCCCTTGTGCCCACCGGCAAAGGCAGGGGATGTTTCTCTTTCCTCTGGTCAAGAGCCAGCTCTGCTGTCAGCACCCCCGCAGCCAGGCCAGAGAGGGAACGGGACCCTCCGATGACTCAGGGCACGCCGCCCCGTCCCAGAGCAGCGGCTGCCTCCCCGACACTGCCCCAGCCCCGCTCCCTCCAGCCCCGCTCCCTCCAGCCGCGCTGTCAGCCGCCGGCGCAAAATTTTACAAAGGAAACAAAGGCAGCGCGCGCAGAGCCCGCCCGCGCCCACCTGGCCTCCGGTCGCCGG